CCCTTCAATTAAGATCAAGACCCCATCCGGGTCTTGCTTTAATGAGCCGCCATTTTGAATTTCAAAATGGCGGACATAAATATCTGCCAGCAGCCAGCAACGCTTAAGATGGCTGAGTAATGTTAAACGTAAAAACTTATACATATAATTGTTAAAGACTGTGTTAGCAGCATTTGCAACTTGGAATATATAGAAGACGGATCTCAGAAGACTTTAGTTCGAGTGCCCAGTATATACACCGAGACATTGCCACACTGAAAGACACTTCAACGTAACACCATGATAAGGAATGATAACGCATTTCTTCTAAAGCGCTGGGTGTTTTACAGGTCACCTCGGAACATCTTTCATCATCGCAGTTAATTAGTGTTCATGAAAACAAATAAGTCATCAATCATCCTGTAAGACGAACTTCCTCAGGTTCATTAACAAATGATTGAATAGGATGGTTACCAATCATTCCCCAATCTTTTCACAGACTAGTAGTTGGTTTCTAAGAGAAATTAGTTTTGCGGATCCATCCTTCATCAGTATATGACGCTGTTGATTGAGATCCTATGATATATCTCTGTTTTCTCCGCAGGGCAGACGTTGTGTCCGACAATCAAACAAAACCATAGGCAAACGTGAGTATCCATCATCCCACTATATCTCCTGCTTATATGCATCATATACATTCTATCACTTGCTAATACGCATTCCAAACATTCTGTTATTAGCTATTACGTCCTGTTTACTACTCCTTTGTAGCAGTATGCCTATTATGGCGAGGAAAAGTGGGCAGTAAAGTCACGCGTGCGTGTGTGCGTGTGTGCGTGCGTGCGTGCGGTCCGGTCTTTTACTGCCGGTTTTATACAACTATCACAATGAGATTCTATGCATCTTGGTAGTGAATCCAACTCAAACACATTATACTGACTTCGAGCCCGCAAGTCGTTAATTTATTCCATTAATTCTAAGCACCATCTGTTAAAAGTATTTTGGCATGACGTGGCCGCGAATCGAACCACCACCCATATATATGTGTGTGTGTGTGTGTGTGTGTGTGTGTGTGTGTGTGTGTGTGTGTGTGTGTGTGTGTGTGTGTGTGTGTGTGTGTGTGAAACATGTTTGCGAGAGTAGTTTTGGTATTTAAAGGAAACAATCGGAGTTCTTCCCACGACTTTAAACGATTTTATATCCTCAACGTCAATTAGAAGCAGTGAAAAGCGTTTCGGTTATACCACGGCGTGTCAGCTGAATGTGGGAGGAAAGCCCGACTTTACACAGGTTTCTGACGTTTACTACCTTGATGCTGACATACCTTGGATCATAATCGGGCGAACCGGGATTCGATCAAAGGTTTCTGGCGTGCCCAAGGGAAGCAACTCTGCACAGGGAATTGCGGCGCCTTTGAAGACTGGGTCCCCCGTGCCCCCGATTTAAAAAAAGCGGTATATTACGCACAAACTACTATTTTCTTGCGTACGAAACTTCTGCATCCCGAATATTCTATAAGTTAGCCCCGTATCAAAAGGGATATGCGGACTCCCCAACCCAAACCCCTCTAAATATGCTGCATCTTATCCAGTTGATATATTTACACATATAATGCGCTAAATCCATCCTATCTTAAGCATGCTCGAAGCGTTTCATTATTAACCTGGTCAGTGGATTAGTGTGTACTCCAATCTCACTCTCAGCTCCCTGGTGAGTATACAACCCAAGCTGCCTTATGAGTCGCTAGAAGGTTAACCGATACTAACTCATCCTACCTAATAGCCCATTCACTGCCAGGAGAACAGATTATTGCGGACCTAGTCACCTACCTAAAGAGACACCACATGTAACACGTGGTTCATTGTGCGGTAGAACTGAAGCCCTATCCAACCATCCAACCATCAAATCATCCACCCAACCACCCATGCGCAACCAACATTGCTTTACTTGATTAACGCCTGATTTTGGACCTGCGCTGTGGACAGGACCATGTTGCACCAATTCATAGATCAAGTATATCCTATCATTTAGAAACATAAAGAGCATCTGTGCTCCTAGCAAGCGAAATACCCTAGCAAGAGATAGTGTCTAAACGTTATTCAGTTTGTGAATGCATACGAAACCCATTTATTGCCTGATGAATGAATGAATGAATGAATGAATGAATGACAAATAAGATCCTCAAAACATCAAAATTAAGTAATTAAATGACAAAATAATCAAACATTTACATCACAAAGGTGGGAACGGTGCCCGCATATATACAGGCTATAAACAGTGATACCTATTGGTAATATTACCACAAGTTGTTCAGGATAATTTTTGTTTTATATAAATGCTTAGAGAATTTGATCAATAAGCGTGCAAAAGATTACATATCTCTCTCTGAAAGTACACATTCACAGTTTTAGATGACATGGTTATAATAATCATTAGTGTTACCTTTTGTACAGTCCTTAGATATTTTGCTTCTGGATCCAATCCTTATTACATACTGTATTTCTTCTCTCAATTCTGGATATAACATTACAACGCTGTATAACACATGAGGAGAAAGCGTTGTATGGATTTTAGAATATCGAAACAGGTCATCTCTACGTGATAATTTATATTTCCATACTTCTTCCTCGTGTGTAGTTATTTCATTTAATAAATCTTTCTCCACTTATTCTTCGCGGGGAATTCCCCTGAGCAAACAGTAAATCATAAGTACATCAGGTTATATTTCGTAGCTGTTGAAAGCAACATTCCACATAGAATGTGTAAGTTATTGTTATGAAAATAACTGAGGGACGTAGATTCATTCATTCATTCATTCACTCACTCATTCATTCATTAACGTCAGTTGTGGTTTCAAGCATTAAGCAGAAACGATTATTCTTTGTACTTTTTCGTAAATCATGATTTGGTGTTTTTATTAACATGTTAATAGGATTGGAGGAAATACAACCAATAAAATGAGACAGCTCTAGCCTTTGGCGCCTGTCGTTACAGATCTGTCAGATACGCGAACTTTTAGACCTGACATTTAAACATGATGATAGCACGGGTTTCGTCGTTCTGAATGAATGTGTCTCTCCTTCGTCGCAATAAATCCACTGTTATTCACACTTTGTTTCAGATTTACAATACAGACGTGTTGTAAACCATACAAAGTCACGAATTAGCATTCACATAATTGATTAGAATTGTGGTTAACCATTGAAATAAAAAGCTTACAATTAGAACCTTGTTGAAACCACAGTATTATATTCTACTTTTGTTCTAAGACTGAAATTGACAACCTATCATTTGGTCCCTACGATTATAGATTGTGAAAAACTGGCATATGCACGTTGGTTCTTTATCCCAATCCTCTATATCTTATCCTAAACAACTGACATGAACATTCGCGCTTTCCATTCTCCCACTTTCTCCATAGCCCCAATTTACATTAGCATTGAACCGCAGCCGTGGTCTAGTTGATAGAGGGTCTGTCAGAAGAGCGGAATGTCAACCGTTCGATCCTATGGCCGCGTCATACCAAAAGACGTTGAAGGTCGTACTTATGTTACCCTGCCTGGTGCTCGGCATTAAGATGATAAAACAAGGACTGGACGGCTCGGAATCAGTATACGGTGTCTGGGTGAGGTGTCTATGTTAAAGTGAGGCATCGTATCTCAGTGGGCTTGCAATATAAAACTTCCATAAATCCGGATTCGTACAAGCAGCCACACACACGCGCATATACGTCGCTATATAAGTTCAATCATCTTGATCGTGACCTTAAACCCCACTTAACCCCACCATTAAACAAATCACTTCATATTTTCACTCTCATTTGGCAGTCAATAAAAACCAATGTACCTTAAATGTATGTTTATGAATAAATGTATTGTCGGACAGTGAGAGTGACAAGAGCTGTTGATGATAAATAAATGGTTTGTGAATGTATAAACCTGCTATTCATGTAAAAGTTGCGGACGCTCAGTGGAAGTTTGACGTCAACGCCAGTAGGCAGAAAGACACCAATGCAGCGGCAATATTAGTCACGGTGGCGTCGTGAGTGAAGGAGACAACTGATTACAAATCGCGTGAGAATAACCCTTTCCCACTTTATACGAAAAACGCGAAAGAGTTGAATATCTGTCTGAAAGTAAATACACCCTTACTTAACATTGTGTCATTGTGTCACTTTCGGGTGTTTTCAAGAGCAGAAATGCCTTTCGTTAACAATTTAAGAAATAATGTCACGTTTTGACTTGAGTACATTTCAAGTACGTTTTGACGCGTATTCTTTAAGTTAATGCGTCGAGTAAAAACGAAATAAGGAATTTACAACGATACATTTTCTGAACAAAGGATATTTGTTTTTTGTGTACAAGGTGAGATACTCATTTTGAAGTACAGTTCCACGGCAATACTTTTTCAATTACTTCCACTGCTTCTTTCAATAATGTGTTGTGAACACAAGTAGCTGTACATGTGTTCATCTAGAAAAATATAGTGTTCCGTAACCATATTTGTCGGTGGTATCCTAGACATTTAATACATTTTGCTGGAATATTGCTGATAGCGGCGTAAAACCATACTCACTCATTATATTTCTTCTTGGCCTAAATATTTTACTTGAATTTTTTTGTCTTTTCCTTCCTGACATTTGGGACATGTTTTCAATGAATTGGACTTTCTCATGAGAAGATTTTCAAACAATCGAGATTAACATTCATTTGACAAATCCACGTATAGAGGGTGAGTATGGTTTTACGCCGCTATTAGCAATATTCCAGCAATATTACGGCGGGGGACACCAGAAATTGGCTTCACTCATTGTATAAATGTCGGGAATGGAACCCGGGTGTTCGGCGTGACGAGCGAACGCTTTAACCGCTAGGCTACCCGACCGCCCCAGAAGAAAATAAGTTAGCACGTAAAGAAAATAGGTTTTTGATGGCAGACAAATGTTCTTCATTATCTACAGTCGACTCGGTATTCGAGTAAAACATATTTGCAAAATAACATTCACATCGTTCATTCCATACCTGTGAAAATATTACGATCTTGCAGAGTGTCTCCCCAAGGAACCATGTCTCTGTAATGTTCTGTAGTACAGTTGGAGGTTCACATGTAATAAACACAAGGAAGTCTGCAACAGCCAGATTCACAATGAACAAGTTAGTCACTGTCTGCATGTGTTTGCTCCTGCATACAACGAAACACACCAAGAAGTTACCAAGAACACCCACCAAAAACACAATGATGTGGAGGAACACAAACACCCATTCAGTCGTTGTAGGAAAAATGTGTTCCTTCAGAATCGAATTTATAAATTCATCTTTGCCCATACAGAACTTGGAACCACTCAGCTCATAACAGCGCGGCACTGTACCATTCGTAGATATATTTGAGCTATTCATTTTTAAAATAGGTCGCTTCTTCAGATGAATGCTCAAAAGATGAATGCTAGGTTTTCAAAGCGAAAATTGAAAGGAAAATATGTTAGTAATTTCAAAAAGCAAACATTTCCAGAAACGGCGGCTGATAGCTCAATCACAAAGGCTTGATTCCGTAGCCTGTTCGAACGCTCGCTTCTGTCAGTGGTTAGATCGGAAGCTTGCAGCAGATAACTCCCGATAGCTTAGACTGGTCCATACACTTCGCCTGTCAGCAACGGTCTGTGACCCTCCGTCCGTGGAACTGCCTCGACTCCGCTTCGTGTGCTGGGAACAACGCGCTATGATAAATATTCACATAATTACCTGGATAGCGCAGGCGGAATAACGCTTACCCGATTGATTGGTTGCGGGGTCGGCTGATGAGATGCGAGGCTGTTAGGAACTGACAATTGCTTCATAAGTGTTTGTGTCCGTTTAATTTGCTTTGGTCAATGATCACTTGGGCTGTACAACTGATTTTGCAGATAGTAACAGTGTGGTAAAAGTGTCTATATGTAAGTGTCAGTCATCAACATATTGTCAGGTCTAAGGGCGAATGTGAAACAGCTTTTCTCTGCAAAAATGAAGGTGTTCACAAATTGCTGAGAAGCATTTTTCTCTGGTAACCAAGTTTTTTAACAATTGTTAGGAGCTTGTAAATAGAAAGGTTATATACATTCTTGAGAAATAAAGATATATATATTTTGGGGGAACATATATATTCACAAAGGCCTTGCAAAAAGCTCCACAGTAAACCGCAAATCTTTATATCAGTAAATATGCTGCATCATATGAATGTCAATAGAATATATTTGAAGTCGATAAGATGACATATTATGCACAGCTACACATTTACAATATCGAAAGGTCAGCATGTATTATGTGGACAACAGCCTGTACCGTGCTTTGAGATAGAAATCTGTATTGTATTGTACTACTTATTATCAGCGATATGACCGATGCTGACTTGATACGTTACTGAAGCAACCTGTAATTATGACAATTATACTTGAAACATTTATATTCAAAAACTATTTACAGCTGGCGCCTGTGTAGAATTATTGCTTTGCAGTTGTACCTACAAAACTGCTGATAATCACACTATTTCCCAAATATGTGATTGAGTTGAGTGTAACTCCGCTTTATATTCCAGTTTTTTAACGGCGAGTCAGCTTATTGTAGGAGGAAAGCCCCGAAGAGATGCAGCATTAGACATTGTTGAAACCAACGAGGATCGGGATGGTGCTGATCTAGACACATAATCGGGGAAAACCGGGATTCGAACCCGCGATCATTAGTTCATGGCGTGTCCAAGGGACACAACTCTGCAGAGAGAATTGCGGCGCCTTTGACGACAAGGCCATCCGTGCCCAAACCAATTATGTAAACCTGAAATTGAATCATACCATTTCTTAATATGTAAATGAAAGCGACAAAAAAATTGGTCGTTCACTTGATGCTATCTGACCAGATGTTTAACAACACGTTTAACGATATAGTTATCTTTCGAAGTTTTCCTTATACACACCTACCCTTTCTTATACCAATCCCTACCTTTGATATCAGCCTTTGGTAGCATATTTCCTGTACTTTTATGGAGTCACTTTAAAGACATTGATAATCTCCAAACATTTGTATTTGTGATTAAATTTTAATATTCATTGTTTGTATGAAGATACATGTAGATCTTTGTTCAGTGTTGAGGGGTATATTAAAAGCAACGGGAAGTGTTCAAGGTTTTGTCTTTCAACTCCTCATTATATGGTTCAACAGCCTGTAGTGCTTACGACACAACAACAGATAAGAAGCTCTTAATGGGAATATTGATCCTGACCAACATCCCTTAAAAGGTGCAAGATGATTACATGCTTTGATGTATTGATGGAGATATTGAACGTTTCAGTCATAAAGAAAACCTATCATCAGTATAAAGACTGTTTCAGGATGTGCCACATGTTATTGCTTTTATGCCTTCACAAACACGTATATCATTTGCCTATTTCAGAATCTGCTAAATTCTGATAGATCAGGTGCAATGCCAATAGCTTGGGGTTGGGGTGGGGGTGGTGTTGGTCAAACTGAGCAAGACTGAGAAATGAATGATCAAATTACATTTACAAAATGGATAGAATCTACACAGAGAACACAATAATCTACAGTGTTATGAAAATTGAAACTACTGAAATATACTTCCATAAAAGAATGCTTAACGCTTAGGATGTCACTATGCATAAGATCGGAAGAGCTCGATTTTATCTGAAAAACGTTTTAAGGCCCTTACCATGGACCAACATGTAGTGAGCTTTTGAAAGCTCCTGCGATAGCATCTGTTAGTCTTGGAACGTTTCATTTATTCGCACAATGAACTCATATGATGTTTATTGACGGGTTCAACAATGGGTTTGTATTCAATATTGCAATTCCCAATCGCTCAGATCTTATTTTTACCAAAAAAAATCCTAATAACTTGATACCCGCTGATATATTTAAAAAAAACAGGTATCAGAACAAAAATTATTGATGACGACACACATCCCATGCAATAATGTTTATGTCAACCAGCTCAATCAGCGAATCAAATTGTTTCAAAATGTCATCAGGCTACTGGAGTACGACTTACGGGTCATACGATTAGAAATCTTCTACATACTCGACGTCCACGTGTTATGCCGCATCTTACAAGTCGTCACATTGTCAACATACGTCAATGGTATACACAACGTTGGAACTGGGATAATCTTGCCATGTGTCACATTTTCAGATGAGTCGCGATTCACGTTGCACTTCCTTAATAGGGATGTCATGCCTGGCGACGTCGAATGTGAATCTGATACCTCATGGCAGATTTGGTGGTGGATCGGATAAGGTTCGGAGTGGCATCACTATGATTGATCGAACCCAACTCCTTATTGTGCAAGGACGGGTCTCTAGACAGTACTATCGGGACATCATACCAACCCCCGTTAGCCTGGAGTGTGGGTCGACGTTTCGTCTCTCAGGACGACAGCACCCGTGCTCGAATCGTCAATGCTCGCCTCCAGTAGCAAAAAATCCAAAGAATGCCATGACCAGCAATGAGCCAAACCCTTTCCCCAATAAACACGTCAGGGACATGCTAGTAGCATCAACGTCATTTGGGTAATTTTAAGTTTTTTCGAGAATCTTCCACCTGTTTGGCAGTATACAAAGCTGTCACTCCTGAACCGTTCTTTCCGATTATGGGAAAGCTGTATTATAACAAAATGCTACCAATTCTGCTACTGAAGTCCTACCTATGGAGCGAAACGTTTTTTAAGTGTATGAAATGTTATTAATTATCATTTAGAGTATATTAATTAAGAAGGGGTCTTAATTGATAATATAATAAATATCTTGAAATGTGCAATCGCATGTGAATGGATGCATGCCAAATTAAACTTTCTGTGACAGAATGAGCGGTCGTTGTGATGTTATACCTCATTAGTTAGAAACTCAGTTCCCAGTTATCCTCAATTTGCCACCACACTGCAGGTGAAAAAACAGATGCAGAGTTGATGCATATACATGGGAAGAGACCATGTGTTCAATTCAGTAACCAGTTAACAAATAATCTATGAGATAGGATATGAATACTGGAAACGCCAAACATCTTCATTGCAATGCACTTGTGAATGTGGAATCCCAACAGTCGTGGTGGTTGGGTCCTCGTATAGTTATCACAAAGGTTTCAAGTACCGAGTGAAACGAACACGACGTGCCAGCACACACTCGAAATGCTGTATTGCCGTATCTTCTCATGCCTACTCTGACCATTAGTACAGAGTATGTTGATTTAGTGCAGTGATTGTGTTACGCTTCCCTGCACAGGAATGTGCTGTTCCAACCGCTGGAGTCCACTAAGGCCAAGTACACTCTTAAACCCAATTAACTGACCGTGCTGTATATGCTTCTACTGTTGTATCTCCAATGTTTCATGATAAGTAAGGGCCTGGTTTGAGTAGGAAATGATGTGAGAAATATTTTTTTATTCAGTTTCTCAAAGTGGAGTTGGAAATTTATAGCTTCATATAAAAGCTTCCTATCAATTGGAATGTAGTTAAAATTTTGACCCATACTGTATTTTAAATATCATCTCAACTGATTAACTTTACTAACTAATTATATGTTATTCCCTAAATACCTATTTACAGTTTATCTATTTACTTTTAACCTTTGTTTATGTCAGTGTTATTTCATATTTACACATTACGTTTCTGTTTTTTCCATCATATTTTTGTACGTATTCATTATTAACTTATCATTCTTTTCAATCCTTTCCTTACCATTATTCACAAATTAATTAAGTCCCCATAATTTACATTTTTAAGGGTCAGGTATGTATAACTTATTGTCCTTATCATTAATTATATCAAAATTAACCTCCACCTGACCCCGACTGCGGTTCTTAAATCCCAAGGAGACTGACTGGAATTTCAAGTCCATGCTTCAGCCAGAGCTCCGTTAAAACAAGAATTGCAGTTGAATCCGCTATCTGTTGTAGATCTCCTTAAGCCAAGAGATACAATACCGAAAGCCAAAGAAACTATTTATGACGATGGTCAGCTACTCGAACGTGTCTAAACAGTGAGTCATTTTATCAAATTCTAGAAATCAGAAATCAAATCATATCAATACGAAAATAGAAATTGTATTAATACCAAAACAATAGATATGTGTACCCTACTCATACATATGAATCCCAAAGCTGGGCAGGTGAGCCAAAGTTGCTAAGGCAGCAGGGAACCTCTTATCACTTAAAGCAACAACAATATGGGATCAAGACGTTTGCAAATATTATGGAAGCTGCCGAAAACTAAGCCCCAAAATGCACATAAATAGAATGTCATTCAGTGTTGCCATTGGTAGAATATACCAACTGAAAAGAAGAAGAGACTGAATTGAAATATACCCATTCTGTCCCAGCCAGCTGCCATCCAAAGTCTGTCTGTCGACATGAAAAATGCTCCCGGCTGCAGATGTGGAAAAAGACCGAGACATACAAGTTGGCTTAGGTGATCCATGGTGCCCGCCCCCAACTCCACAAGAGGACCTTCAGTGATACTGAGCAGAGGCTATCAACACCAAAAGACCATTTCCCAGCCAAATTGAATACTCCTCTGGTCCCTAACTACTGTCGGACATTTTGCCAAGACGGACCAGTTCTCGTAATGACCGAGACTGTGTTATTGTATGTCTTAAACTGTGACGTGAATTACACATATCAAATGACAT